TGCCACATGAATAGCGGTGACACTTTTTACTAAATGAGCAATTTTGTAAAAGTGTTAAGTAAAATAAAACAAAAGTTTCTTAAGAAGTGTTGGGGGAATGTAGAGATGCCATTTCGACTGTTGGCCGCTATCTCTTTACTCTGCAGCCCACATGGGAGCTGAAGGCGGGGAGGCAATTTCTTGTGTTTTTGGGTTATTAATTCGGGGACCTAACTGGGAGGATTAGTAGGTTACCTGGAACCTTGGCTTTCTGGAGACACTGGGATTCAGCACAAAGATAGTAAGTGCCGTAACAAGTCTGGAGGCAGTGCTGACTGTGGCTTGATGTCTGTAGGGTGACTCGTTCACAGCATTCTGAGAGCTGTATTGAGGAGCCAGAAGGTCCAGAGTGGCAGGTGCCGCCAAGCATACCAATGAGGAGAGCCTTGATAGAGTCCCCCCGTGGGCTTCAAGGCCGGATGCTTTCCTTACATTTTAAGTTGTCTCTTCTGCTCTTTACAGCAGGGGCCAGATAAGAGCTCGTGCTGGCAGAGCAGATCTGTCACGCTCTCAGCATACCAATACCACCACTGTCAGAAAAGCAGATTTACCAGGCTGCTCCGATCTCCACTCTTGAGCACCATTCACATAACTCCAGAACTTCTTGCCATGCCAGAAACAGTGGCTGTGCTAAGTAAATTGGAACCTTTATGTTTAACCAACCAGAGTCACTGTTCACGTTATAGTCAAAATCTGTATGAATGGAAGAATTAATCTTGCAAAAATGTTGCAAGAAACTGTAGGACTCATTTACATTTTGACTAGCCCTGTCTGTGGCTGTAGGTGGGTTCTTCCTTCTAGTGAGCTCAAATCAGTCTCCGGTTCTCCCTGGCCCTCACTCTGTTCTCTTACCAAGTCTCCTGTGTTGGCTGTCATACTTCTTGAGGGCCTAACCCAAGTCCTTCCAGCCCAGGGCTTGTGAAGACGTGCTTGTTTACGTGGATGGTTACCCATGGCCCGCCTTTATGGGGCTTGTCCTTCCCTGCCATCTTCCACCCGTGCTCCCTGGTCCTCTCACAGGTGAGACTGGCTGCCCTCCAACCTGGAGGGCTGCTCCTGGGAGGAAGAGTGGGATCTGAAAATAAAGGCTAGGTTCTGCTCTACCTTATTTGCCGAGTTACTGTCTGAAATGCAACAGAAGCCCTTGTATGGAGGAGAGAGAGTTTCTGTGCTCCACTGAAACCAGCCACCTGGCTCCCGGCCGGGTCACCTACATCACTGTCAGGGAGCAAGGTAGCAATTCAGGTTTAAGAACAGGTATTTCAGGGGATTTGTCTGTGCCTGCTAACTTCATCTTAAGATAGGGTCATAGGACATGAGATTCTTCATGGGTTTTAGAAAATCAAAAGTCAGGAAATGGGGCAGGCTGGGGGCTTTTGGGCTGAGGAGTTAAGGACAGCAGGAAAAGTCAGAGGACTTTGCAATCTCCCGATGGGTGGGGGAATCTAGCGTTCCATAGGCAACCTCCATTTGGTGAAGGTGAGCCTGGAGTGGTAGAAAGAGATCAGAAAGGTGGTGGGTGCAGGAGCACAGGAGTTGACTGTTGTGGGCATGTCATTTCCCCTTTCTGGGCCTTTCCTCACCTGTGGCTTGATGTAACGAAACACAGCCTGCTCTGCTGGGTGTTTAGGCAGATTGAATGAAATAGTCCAAGGACCTAACTCTTCTTCCTTTGCCAAAAAGTGCTGAACCAGAAGCTCTGCCATTAGCAAGCTGGGCGAGTTTGATCAGAAACCATCGAATTTTAAGACCTCAGTATTCAGGAGGCATTACTACTTTTTAAAAATTTTATTTAATTATTTATTCGGCTGCATCGGGTCTTCATTGCTGTACGTGGGATCTTCGTTGCGGCACGTGGGATCTTTAGTTGCAGCATGCAAACTCTTAGTTGTGTCATGTGGGATCTAGTTCCCTGACCATAGATCGAACCTGGGCCCCTCTGCATTGGGAGCTCGAAGTCTTAGCCACTGGACCACCAGGGAAGTCCCCCAGGAGGCATTGCTTTGATTCATCTCTTTTCTCAATGTATTGAGTCCTTTTTTTTAATTTAGTCTTCCAATAACATCCCGTGACCCACATCTTCATTTATTTTTGCATAATATAGGAATAAAAATATCTGTGCTGCCTACCTCAGTGGGTACTTGGGAGGGTCAAATACAATAATGAATGTGACCACACTTAAAACTTCATGTAAATGCAGGAAATGGTGGTGATGGTGCTGTGGTTGATAATTGTTTTTAGCAAAAAGGGCAGCGTCCATATTAGGGGAGGAAGGCTGAGGAGCTGCCTCTAGGTCTGATCAAATGACAGCTATATTTTTGTCCACTTAAAAAAACTATCTTTCTTCTAATGTTAGAATGTGAAAATCATCACAGTGCCTACACCTTCCAGCTCAGGGTTCATTTACCCAAGACCCTGGGCTTATTTAAGCTGGTACAAGTTGGGTGTGGGGAGCCCAGGAGTTGCTATTCAGGTTGTACAGTGTGTATGAAGGCATTGCTGGATGCCGGCTGCTGCTCCAAGCACATAGAAGGTTTGCTCTTTGCTCACACCTACCAGAGATTCACCAGGCTGACCTTGGCATAGGACCAAAGGCTGTTTGGGGGCTACTGAGTGCCACACAGGTGGTGTCATTCAGAAGTTTGGCCCTGGGCATAAGGGGAGGGAGAGGAGGTAGCAGTAGATGCTGCTGTTTTTCAGATGCCTTGACTTTAAGGACTTCTGATCTTGACCAGGAAGCTGCCAGCCCCACAGACTCCTAAGGGAAGGGGACAGCAGGTTAGCATGCAAAGAGCATTGAATTTAGAAATTGAAGACCTGGATTCATGGCCCAGTCTTATCACTTATTGACAAAGTTATCTAGAGCAAGTCTCTTAACCTCTCTGAGCCATTTCCTCATTCATAAAACAGGGGTCGACGGTGTTAATAGTTAAGATGTGTAAGAAAAGGCTTTGTAGAGGTAATCGTGGTTAGGAATTATTGTTATTCCCATTATGATCAGAGCATTTTTTTTTTTCCTCTAGGTAGAAATGAGGCAGGCTTAGGTAGAATGTTTTCAAATTCCCTGGTGAATGGAGATGGCTAAAAGAAACTGGGTGCAAATAAAGCCTAACCCATGAACACAATGCAAGGATTTCTGAAATTGGTGTTATGGGGGCCTGCTTCTCATCCTTATCCAGACGCTCATTCCTCAACTCTATTTTTTTTGGGAAGAACAGTCTGCTGCCTGCCAGATGAGGTCATAGGATTCCAAGGGCTTTGCCTGGAGCCAGAAGCTGGGAATTCGGAGGCCGGCAGTGGTTGGGAGGGTTGCGGGGGTGCTAGGGGTGGTGTGCAGTTGCAGGGCCAGGGAGCAGACTGGCCTGATAACTCTGCCTATTTCACCTAGGGCTTATTAGGATTAAGGCTGCTCAGATCTCAGTGCCAGCTTTACCCAGCCACCAGACGCAGGACGCTCTGACAGCTCCAGGGCAGAGTAAGGCAAACTTTGTAGGCTTAGAGGTTTTTTTGTTTTTTTAACCTTTATGCTATGCTCATTTAAACCTACTAATCTCTGGGGTGAGTCAGGGCTCAGTTTGGGGATGGGGCTGATATCTTAACACTATCGAACTGAGATATGTTGACTCTGACAAGAAAAAGCATTTTAACCGTCTGTATAAGGAGCCTTAAAAAATGACCATGCCCTTTGATTTAGTAATGTTACTTCTGGGACTTTAACCCAAGGAAATAATTTGAATTGCAGAAAAAGCCCATAAATGCAAAGATATATTGACTATAATAGTGGGGGTGGGGTAGGGGAAGCACCTAAAATGTCCAGCATTAGAAGAATGTAAATCTTTCTAGAAGGTAAGCACTGCGGGGTAAGGACTTTTTTGTTCACTCTGTATCTCTAGCACCTCAGGCAGTACCTGGCACACAGATGGCCAGTAAAAGTTTTACATCTATATGATAAGACTATTTATTATTCACCTATTTCAAATGAAGACATCTTAATGACATAGGAAATTGTCTATGTTAATTGGATGTGAAAAAAGCAGGATACAGATTTCTAAATACAGTAAAATCATATTTTTTAAAATAAAATGATTAAAAAAAAGAAAGCTAGGAAAGAGAAGAAACCCAGGTATATCTCTAGGTGGTGAGATCATGGGTGACCTTTTTTCTTTCTATATTTTCTAAAATTTCTAAAACAACTATGATTTTGCGATTGAGAAAAACATTTTAACATAAATCATATTCTTTAAAGAATAGAAAAAGGAGGTTAGATTAGTTTATTCGTGTGGATCAGAGCAGCAGCCTCTAGAGCCAACTCCTCCTTCCTTTCAAAGAACCAGGCAGCCTTTATGAATACACAAAACACCTACACACTTCGGTTGTGTCTGTCAACTCGGCGTGGAAGCTGATCCCTTCTCACTTCAAAAGGGTGATAGAAACTCCACAGTGTTGAAATTGTACAGGTCATGTTGCAGAGACATGCCCATACATTTATATCCCATCACTGAAGCGAAGACATTTTGTAGTAGGGAGAAGAATTTTAAGAAGATAGATTTTTCTGGGTGGATGTTAATTCTTAGGATTCTTTTCCTGGTTCATGGGTTTTGGAAGCTGTTGAAAGTGCCATCTGCTTTCGTTCATTCTTGTTTTCAGCTCGTGCCATCTTAAAGTAACTTGCGCTGAGTGAGTCAGTTTCTTGGAGTTAGCCCTTCATGGACTGTCTCTCTAAGATACAGTGCTGTCTTGGAGGCAAGACTTGCCTAGAATTGAAATCCCCACGTCTTAGGTGAGCTTTGGCGCCTGAGCTGGAAGTTTTTGGTTTTTCAGTGCAGCTGGCTTCTGGAGTGGTCTTACCCTGGGAGGAGTCTGTGTTGACCAGGGGTCCTCAGACATTAATGACCTATTGTTGTGTCTGTGAGCCTTTCCATTCACAGGATTTCTCATTCATTATCTCTCTTTCTCTTTAGCCATAACCAGCAGACCACAGCCTTCAGACATCCTGTGAGTGGGCAGTTTTCTCCAGAAAATAGCGAATTTATTCTTCAAGAAGAGTAAGTACATTTGTATATTCTCCTTTTCCAGGCACAGCTTGGGAGCTTAAAGGCATTTGCTTAAAACAAAGCTTGTTGGACTGTTTTCTCTCTCAGACGTAGGGGCTTGACGTGGATTGTTTGATTCAAGGTGAAACTCGAGAATTTTGTTTGTCAGTCTCTAGACTTCTTTCAGCGGGTAGATGTGGAAGCGGGCAGATGATATGGGGATGTGCTGTGATGGTTATTGTCAGAGCCTCTTCATAGCTCCCTTTCCCCGAATGATCCCTTTCCCCTCAAGCGTCACCTAACACACTAGCTGTGCTCTGAGAGGACCCACTCACCTGTTGTGAGAGTACCTTAAATCAGCCTCAGGTCCGGCTGAACCAACCTCCTGAGGAGGCCTCATATAGGAGCCCAAAGCCAGGGCTTAGAAGAGAGGAGGGCTGGTGGCCCCCATTGTCCCTGAACATTTTGAGTCCTTTCTGCTTGCTTTCCCTAACACGGGCACCGTCTTGCCCCTCAGTCCCATTTCACCAGGGCCTCTGGGGTGCTCAGAGGTAGTTTGTACCACCCAGGGCTTGTCTGCTTAAAAATGCATGTACAGCCCACGCATACATTTTGGGGAGGTGTCCTCCCAAAAATGAAGGCAGAGAAATGTGTGCAAGTGTCTGTGTTCCCTTCTGATCATTTGAGATAGCTCTGTTTGAAGAAAACAATTCTGTCTAAGAAACTAATAGAGACGTTGGCTTTAAGCGTTTTTTCTTTTTTTTCTTTAAAAAAAAATATACACACACATACATATAATATATGTATAATGTGTGTGTGTGTGTGTGTGTGTGTGTGTGTGTGTGTGTATATATATATATATATAATTTTTTTTTTGGCCGCAATACACGGCTTGTGGGATCTTAGTTCCATGACCAGGGATTGAACCCAATCCCTCGGCAGTGAAAATGCGGAGTCCTAGCCACTGGACCGCCAGGGAATTCCCAAGCGTTTTTTTTTCCCCCTTCAAATCATTTTTCTTCTGTTCAATCACCTAGATATGTTCAAATATAATCTTAAATTATCAGTATTTATATTTTTACAGCATTCCCCTTTCTCAGTACTTAAACTTTTAAACTAACACAGAAAATTTCAAACATATACAAAAGTAGAGAGATACAGTAATAAATCCGATATATTCATTACCCATCTTCAACAGTTTCCAAAACATGGCTGATTTTATTTTATCTGTACCCTCTCCCTCACCCCGGATTATTTTGAAGCAAATTCCGAACATATTATTTCATCTCAATAGTGTTTTCAACTTAGAATCATTATCCAACAGAACTTTTAAAACTAGAAATCTGTAATTATGATCATACTGACATTCCTTGCATGTTTACTCTGTGCTGGGGATTTTTATATGCATATCTCATTTAATACAATAATCCTGAGAAGTAGACCATCATCACCATCTTAGAGACGAAGATGCTAAGACCCAAAGAAGTCACGTCACTTGCCCAAAGTTGCCTGGCTAGAAGTAGAAAAGCCAGGATGCCATCCCAACCTGATCTCTTTTTGGTCAGGTCTAACCCTTGCCCTAGTCAGAAGCTGTTTGCTCAGTTATTTTGGTGCTCGTGGCCCACAGGACATGACAGCCAGACTGCGGGGCTTGTGGGGGGTTGGGGGGTGTTTGACTTTGAAAGCATTAATACTATTAGAGAAAGAGGGGATGCAAGGTAAAGATTGTCTTGTCTCCTACATTGAAAAAGACCTGCTGTGTAAAGACAAAGCCAGAATGTGGATTCTCCGAATTCCAGGTTGGAATGAGTTTGTTTATAGAATCCTGAAGGTTAGAAGCTCTTGGGAGGTTATTGAGTTCAGCCCCTCTCCTTAAGCATCCAGGAGACACGGGCGCCTGTCATTATTAAAGGTCTGGATGTAGAATCCATCAGAACATTTAGCTTGAGAAGTTACCAACTTTAATAAGAGCTTCTGGAGAAATGCACACTTTCCATCACTAAACACCTCTGTCACACACATCCTTTTTCTCATTGTTAACAGAAGACTTTATCCCTTGACCACTTACTTCTGAGAAGGTAGCCTCTTTATCCTACCAAAATATCTCTGCAGCTAATCTCAATTCCGTCCAGTTTCCAAGGAAAAGATATTCCTTCTTTTCAAGGGTCACTTTTTCCCTCTAGATCCCGTTTCCTGAATGTCGTAAGGGGTGCTTGCTCATTTCAGATGATGGGAACAACTATATGGCCAGACATTCCTTGAAGCAGACAGAATGTGCTTTAGGCGTTGAGAGGAAGGGATGATTCCTATGAACTGATGTGGTAATTGCTGCACTTATTCATTGAATACTTAGTCAGTGCCTACATGTGTCAGGGGCTATGCCAGACTCTGCAGTTATAGCAGCAAACAAGACAAATGTGGTCCTGTCTGTGAAGAGCTTACGGTTGAGCAGGGAAGATAATTAAACAAGATATCACCAATGTGATAAATGTTCAGGATAGAGGGAACATAGGGTTCAATGGGAGTTGATAAAAGAGAGTTCTAACCTGGCTCAGGGATTGTGGAAGGCCTCTCCATGCTGGGAAAGGATGTTGTTTAAATTGAGACCTGTCCAGTCAAGGTGAACAACTTGTGCAAAGACGGAGAGGGGAGAGCATGGGGAATCTATACTAGTTGAGTTAGAATGAAAAACGAAGAGCACAAAGTGGATTCTGGAGATACTTGGGAGGTAAAATTGACAGGACTTGGTGATTGATTGGCTGTGATGGGGACGAAAGAGAGGGAAGGCTTTCTTGAAGTGTCTGGCCCTAAACTGGAGGAAGGGGTAAGATTTAGATAAGATAAGTGTGCACGAGTGTGAGGGTCATTCACAGCGGAGGGAAGTGTGACCAGCCTTGGCAAGAAGACTGACATGCCACTTCCCAGAACTTCTGCCGCTAGTGTCCTTGTCCCCATGGTGAGCCACAGCTGCCTCCCGCCTCTGCAGGAGACCCTCCGACACTAGCAGAAATAAGGCATTACCCTATACATCCACCAGAGGGCAGACAGCGGAAGCAAGAAGAACTACAATCCTGCAGCCTGTGGAATGAGAACCACATTCACAGAAAGATAGATAAAATGAAAAGGCAGAGGACTATGTACCAGATGAAGGAGCAAGATAAAACCCCAGAGAAACAACTCAATAAAGTGGAGATAGGCAGCCTTCCAGAAGACTGACATGTAATGGAGGTTTGTGAAGGAGAGATAAGGTTGGAGAGGGAGGTTGCAGCCAATTATCCAAATTGCTTCCTCTATCCAAATAGACTTGGCTTTTCCTCCAGGTAAATCCTGGCGGAGCTCCGGAGGGTGAGTGAGGCATGATTTGCCTTCCCAATAACCATTTTTAAAAACTGTGCTAAGGAATATCATTTCCACTTTGTTCCCTTAGAGGAGCTTAATTTTGTTGTGTAGCGTGTTATGTGGTGAGGAAAAAAAAGGCTGAGATGACCGTTTGTGTCTTTATATCAGCTCTCAGATTAATGTGTTGGGTAGAAAAAGGAAAACTGGCTCTTTTCTTTTCCTTCTCCAAAAGTCTGTTACGGTCACATTGACTCCTCTCGCCAGAGCCTCTGCCTCGGTTTCACCACTTCTAGAGCGGTGGTTCTCAAAGTGTGGTCTCTGAACCAGCATCCCCTGGGAACTTGTTAGGGATGCAGTTCTCAAGCCCCACCCCAGACCTACTGAATCAGAGATTCTGGAGGTAGGACCCCCATAAACTGTGTTTTAACAAGCCTTCAGGTGATTCTGATTCTGGTAAGAGTTTGAGAACCACTGATTTAAACAACCTGCTGTTCCCATCTCTCCTGAATTACTCCCAGATTCTTCTATTTATCCTTAAGTCTCCTCCAGATAACCCTTCATTCTTTGGGCTGCAGTGGCAATCTCAGATGGATTTTAGTCAGATAATCTTGGGATTCCTTATCCTGTGAGAAGAAAAAAAACATTCTCCATGGTGACTTCCTTTAGAGCATTACTGATGTGAACAGATAACCCATCTCCCCCACTGCTGGCAGGTGGGGCTCACCTGAGCTGTTTGGTGTACCAGGTGCATGCCCACCAAAAGATTGTTTCCCATCTTACTGATTAGAAGCATGGAGAAGAGAAAGCTGTGAAAGCTGTGATCTGGTGGATCTAGAGGACATAAACTCTGCATGTTCTAGTTTCTGTTTCAGTAATACAGGTTCAGTCAGGATAGTCTAGGGTCTGCTCTGGTAATAACAACGACAAATAAAATCTCAGTGACTTAGAACAATTAAGGTTCTCACTTTTGCCCCATGTGTCCATCATAGGTCCCCTGAGGGGTTCAGCTCTGTCACCTTTACTGAAGGACCGGCATCTCTGTGCTTCCATGATTGCCAAAGGCCAGAAAAGGGAAACCTGGTGAATTGTGCACCGGCTGTTTCACTCACATCTCATTGGCTAAAACGAGTCACATGACCACTCCTAACTCCAAGGGGGCATGGAAGTGCTTTTCTACCAGGCATCTGGGGAGGAAATCAGAAATATTTGTTGGTCAGCACTAATGACTACACTTAATAACCCAGAGTGCAGATTTATTAAGGGAAGCAGGATCTTTTGAGAATGTCGCTGACGAGCATCTTTTGTTGCATGACTAGCGTTTGTTTTTTCATTTCACCTTTTCTGTTATGCTACTGAGTTCTTTGTTAGAACCCCCAAGGCAGGTGGGTATCAGTCAACAGGTCCTGCAGCCTTGACCCCCAGGGGAGACCCCTGCATACCCAAGCCAACGGGCATGTGGAAATCCCTCTTGGAAGAGCTGATATAAGCCCAGGCTGCATTAATAAAAATATCATGTGTAGAGAAAGGGGGAGAATAGTTCTGGTATACCATGGTGTTTGTGGACTACTTCATTAATTCATTCTGAGTTTATGGAGCCCCAGGGACATGCCAAGCCCCAGACGCTCTGATCTGGGTACTAAGTTTCAAGAGGGATGTTGAGCAATTGAGATATC